AATGTATTTTGTAATTACTTCTTTTGAAAAATAAAAATAAAAATACGATTATTACTTCTTTTTTAATCTAAAAAAAAGTAATTAATTAAAAAATTAAAGTTTCGCTTGAACTTCTTTTTTAARTCCATAATTATTACATCATTTAAATTTTTTATATTTATTAGCATCTTATTAGTGAAAAATATGTGATAAAATTTTATTGATGTCATAAACATTTGAGAATGGTAGATAGACTACGAACTTTTTTAAAACAATTTATAAAAGTTGTTCTTGAATATGAAACATGAACATTTACCACTATTCTCTCGTTTAATTGAGTATTTTAAATTTAGCTGATCCAATTATGATTCAATAGATAAAATACATATTATTATTTCTAAATTGATTGGATTTTATTCTTGGCGCTGTTGAACCCAGAAAATCAAATTTAACTTTAGAATTTAAACTTGGATTGAAAGGGCTAATTAGAATCAATTATTCAGATAAAAGAGAAAAACTACCAAACTAGGGGAAAGATGTTTATAAATATACATTAGTCAATGAAATGGGAAATCACCAAAAGAATGAAATTCTACAATGTTTGAAGTTGAACAGATGAAAATTATTACAAAATTATTTATTTATTTTTGCAAATGTTTTTGGCAAATAACTGATAAAAAAAGGTCTTCAGAAAAAAAAATATATATATATATTGTAAAGTAATAAAAGAAAGAGTAGTAGAAGTAGAAATGAACCTGGCTTGGAGGGTGAGTGTGTGAAGATCGGATCCATAAACGGAGGAACTTCTGATGAGGGCAAGACCGGCGGTCAACGACTTTCCGGTGGGATCAACGTGCGCCGATCTGATCCGGTAGCCATATCCGATAACAGGCGACGGTTGAGGTTCTGCGAGAGAGAAGAAGAAGCAAACAATGAAAAGAGAGAATCCAAATAGGCTTCTGGTTGCCGTCTTCGCCATTGTTATGGAGCTGCAAGTGAGAATGATGCCTACTGGACCTCTTCTTATCTCCTCTCTAGAATACTATTTTAGTCGTTGTTGGAGGAGTGATCATTTTAGTCATTCTTTACAAAATATTAACACAAATTTTATACATAACAGAAACTATTTAGTATAAACTATAAAGTAAAATTTACATTCTAAAAAATATATTAACTTTAACGTCGTTTTAAAATTGTGAATGAGATTAAGAATAAAAGTAATAGATCAAAATGGTTATTTTTTTTAAGTACAGAGACTAGAATTAACCAAAATTGAAAGTCCASGAATCAAAACGACCATTTTGAATAGAAAAAGAACCAAAACTAAAAGACGTGAACAAACTACTATTTTAACTTTTTTTTTTCTTTTTCAATTGGCAAACGTGGTATGTATTTTAGTCAATGGCTGGGCAGCTTCTTATAGGTGTTCTTATTACCAAAATAAAAAGAAAGAGGTAAGAAAAGTGAGGGTGTGTGTATCCCTCTGTCACTCTTCAAAAGGTAGAAAAAGAGAGAAAAAAATAAGAAACAGCAGCCGAACAAGAAGAATAACTATTATCGAGCGTAGTCAGTACACAAAAGCTAAAAAGCGAGGCTAGACTTATGAGATTTGTTTAATGAAAAATACTGACCTTAGGAGGGATCTTATCCTTACTACTATTAAATGTTTGACGACTAAGAGAGAGAAATGTAAAAATAAAGATTTTTTATAAAAATTAACGAGTTATCAATTTCTCAATTGTGACGAGGACAAGACAAGATTTGGTCTTATAGTTAAGGAGCAAGTATTCTATTTTCTAAAGTATTTTGTCTCTTTCCTTAGATATGAAATCCTTGATTTTCTTACCAAATGAGGACCATTGGTTTATTATAAATTTGCATGAACATGGAAAGATATATGCGGCATCAAATCTCTCACACATGTTAGCTAAATTGGCTAAGTCTACCAAAAAAAGGAAGAAAAAAAAACCTTTTCATGATAAGAAAAAAAAAACCATTTTCATGTTTCTCTCCGGAACCAATATTTAAATGAAGGTATAGTCAGAAAAGGTTAAAAAAAATAAGTTTTCCAAGAAATCGGACATCTGATTTGTCAGTGTGGTCGATGTTGGTTTGAACTCAAAACCAACACCTACCAATGTTTACTCTTAGTAGGAACCTTTTAGAAGATTATCAAATTAGAGTAGATTTGTGTGGCTAGTTAAGGCACGTTTGGAAGTGATTTCAACGCATAGCTAGAATCACTTTTATTCATGCAAATTTCACTTCCATTTTAAAATATAATGCTTGGTAAAGATTTATCTAAACTTCGAGTGATTCTCGATCAATCACTTGGAGAGTGATTCTGATATAAACTTATAAGCCTACCATCAAACTCCAATGAAGATGCAAACTTGACGAAGATGTTAATTTCATTTTAGTTTGGAGCTTAGTCGATTAGACTTTAATTTCTTTATTTTAATCCAAGTATTGGAAATATTATTCAATTATTTTAGTTAGTTATTTTATTTATTCATTTATTTTTACCAAAATAAGTTAGGATTTTAGTATTTGATGCCACCTAGGTTATTCTCATCAGTAAGCCATATATAGTTCATCATTTAGGTTCTAAGGGGAAAGTTCAGTTTTAATAGAAATTTCAAGTCAAGCCAAGAGTGTTTGAATTTTGCAATTCTTGATCTAGGTTGCAAACTTGGAACATTCAAGATGAATTTGATCAACCTCCCTTGTGTAGTGTTCATCCTCGAGTAGAGAACTAGTTCTCYTTACCTCGTGGTATTCGATCAATAAGGTAACTTATTCCAACTTTTCCTTAGGGTTGTATTAAAAGTGATTGAGGTTTCAGTGTTTGTGAATTAGGAGTCCACCTATCAAAGGATTCCTAATTCTAATTCGTTAGGGTAATCAGAACAAATGCTCTAGATTGGATATATCAGTATCTGTGATTTTTATTGAAGCAGCTGAAACTAAGTTTGTCAAATAAACAGCTCAAAAATAATTGAAGCAAGGTGGTTGAAGTTGTTTGAACTAGGTGACTTGCTTCCCTTAAGTGATCTTGGTGAATGGATATCATTGAGGTAGCTGAAGCAAGTACGTGGAATTAAGCCATTGAAAATTTTTTGTTTCCAAGTTAATTTGTAAGATCAAGCTATACAAATCATTCAAGTTTTATCTTGCCAATTTTTTATTTTTTTTCATCCGGGAGAATTTGAGTTTTGTTGCTTCTTAATTTTTTTTTCCTTGTTAATTTTATTTTAACATTCTTATCTATTTGTTTGCTCTTTTATTCGTCTTACATAATTCTTTGGATTTTGAGTCTTAATTCCATATATCTTATTTTCATTGTTTTGTTTTTATTCTAGTTGGTTGGATCTTGAATATTAGATTCTTGATTCTTAGCTTTCTTATTTTATGGATTCTACTCGTTTTTTATTTGAGTTTGACACTTTATGATCATTCCTAGCTATTTGAATTGTTACTTGGTTGCTTCCTTAGCTTCTTGGTTGCAAACTCTTGGCTCATCATGCCATAATTGAGAGAGATTGCATCATTGTGAGAGAGAGCATCCATTTTTAGAGTGTAAACACAAGCGGACCACATACATTAAGTGAAACATTTGAGGGAGTGAATTGTGA